AAGCAACAATAGTGGAGGTTTGGTGAAGTAGCTATGATGCACGTACCACCTGTACGGCAATATCACCAAAAAACAGCATCAATCTCTTTTTAAAGCAGTAAAACTGTTTGGAAGTGTCAAATTTGAGGAACAATGAGATACTGTGATTAGAGTCAATGTAAGGCCATATTTAACTAAAAACAAAACCGTATCTCTGCTGTGGAAGTTGAGATTTTGTCTACAGAAACTCAAATCTGTTTTTGAAGGTCAGGGGAAGTTGGTGTGGTTTCAGACTAGACTTTTATTGTTTTTCTAAACTTTTTAAGACCCAATATTTCTAAATATTTTGTGTCAGTGATGCTGGTTTTCTGTTACCTGGTGGCTCATTTGATCTTCCTCGTTTGGCTTTGATCCCAAGACCTCCAGTCTGTTCACTATATTCACTTTTTCTGACCCTCTCTTCTTCTTCTCATCAGACCCGCTTGCGAGACCGCTGCGAGAGCCCCCAGCTGTTAATGGACACCAAAATGATCTACCCGGTCACCTTCCCATTCAACCCGTCCTCCTTGGCCCTGGAAACAATCCAGATCCCCACCTCCCTGAACCTGAGCTTCCTCACCAGGGTCTGAGCTGAAAAATCCCCGGCCGCGACCGTCGCCTCCACCTACTGGCCCGAGACAAGAGTATAAATATTAATGATAGTAAAAGCACTTCAATAAAATGTGGATGAACACAATCTGAAGAAACATTTTCTGTCTAAACGCTGACATGCACACACATCGGTGTCACCTTCTGGCTTGTGTCGCTCGGAAACGCGCGCTACTCGCCCCGAGCTCGTCATTAAACGCCTGTATAAACGCTTAGAGAAGCCATTGGATCCCATCAGTCATCAGCAAGAAGGTTAGTGTTACCCATCCTTCCTCAGTGTTTCCCGTCATCGTTGAGCTAGCTGCTGTTCACGTCTGAGTCACGAAAGCAAAGCAGGCAGAGATCTCACCACACAGCTAATTAGCAAACTATCGCAAAAACAGCCGAGCGATCGGGTTTTATCCCCCTCTGAGCACAGTCAAGCCAAGACGAGACAAAACTCATTGCCTGTACTATATTATTTATACACAAAGATATCTATATAGAAATAAATAATCTATCTTGTATTTTATTTATTGAAATTATGTTGCCAGCCTCAATGTTTAAAGAATACTGAACAGCTTTGCTTTAGCTGCACTGACGTACAATATTTATGTCCTAATTAGATAAGTTATATCATAGTCAGAAGGTCTGGCACAACTTTTGATTCGCTGTGTCATTAACTCAGATGTTTAGTGTTTATTTCAGGCAGAAGTGAGGAGAGTATATGAAGGGTTAAACTCTGCTGAGGGCTTTAACCTACGACCAGGTCCTCTGTTTACAGCTCTGATCAGAACCGAGAAGACACACCAGGAACATTTCAACTATGGAAGCCCCAACGTGCCACAAATTCAGAAGTCAAAACCTCTTTACTTTTGTTATGATTAAAGTTGCTGAATTTTATAAATAGGCAAATTCTCGATTGTGAATATATGAATCATTAAATGTGAAATGCTGTAATTAGTCATATGTGATGATATTTTAGTTAAGTTTGTGAATGTCAGTGATCAGTCAGCACTGTGTTGCTGTGTAAACGCTGCTCCATTTTCCTGCGCAGTGCTGGCTCCGCCCAATAACAAACTACTAACAGTGAAATACTCATTTAAATGCTTGTTTGCCATACATTTTTGAAGACATTACATTTACTACTACTTTAAATGAATTGGAACACACTGAACTAATCGAGTGATTTCTTTGTTGAATTGTGTCACTTTTGGACTTCCATATTCACCATACCGCCAACACTGCAATAAAAGCACAGATATGTACATAAGACGTGACACTCAGCTTCTGTTTCTCCTTACATTCTTCTGGTCAAGGCCTTGGAAAATGTTCCCGTTTATCTTTGTGTGCGTATTTATTTCAGTATTGCCATTTGTTTAGGGTTGTTTGTATTGTAAAGCCATATATTACTGAGCAGAATGAAGAGACATTTGTTTTTTTGTTTATTTTAAGTATGTTTTGCAGAAATCACCTGATATCTGTTTGTTACACTTTCTCTGCTTTACACCCACTTTTGCCTTCCTGTTTTTGTGACACAACATGGGCATTTGTTACAAATAACCAACAGATTATTTTTGATCATCGCCATCATTTTAACTGCTGGCTCAGTGCTTCTCTCAGTTCTTTTTTTATTATTATTCACTGTACAGATTGTTTAGCTTCAGATATCTCGGTACTTTAGCAAAGTATAAGGCATGAAGTGCTGCTGTTTCGTTCGTGTAACCTGCATGGTTTAGGCTTTCCGGCCGTCACCAGCTTGAGAAAAGGAGCCTGCATGTTAGGAAAACTAGAGCGTGGAGTCGAGTCCACCAGGAAATTTGCCCATGTTGTGACAAAGACTCTTCCGTCTTCCTCTGCTCTGTCTTTTCTGCACTTTCAGCCTGCTTCCTGTTGTGCCGCTAGTACTTGCTGTGCCTCTTCTCCTCCTCTTTTGATCATTATTGTCACCAAAAACACTCTGCTTAGTAAAATGCCATTTCTGGTTGGTCCAGTCCAGTTGCAAAGTTTTTGTTGGAACTGGACTTTTGAGGCAAATGAGATGGAAAAAAAAGAGCAGAGGCACAAAATGAGGCAGAGAAATCTCAATAACCCAGAGGAGTGATATCTTGTTGGACGTCCTGATTGGATTAAAGAGAAAGTGCTATGTTTGGAAATGCACCAATTGGATGGGAATCTGCAGAAACATCAAAAGTTTTTATGATATGTAGCCCTTAGAAGAAAAAAAACCTGAATCAGTAAAAATATACCTGACCGGACGATCGGCAGTAACATTTTTACTTTGAAAACATCCGTCTGCTCTCACTGGGACCACATTTAATAGTTCAGCCTTTTGTTTGTCTGGGTTTTTTTTTTTTTTTTTTTTTTGTGCAACGTTTCTGGCTCGTGCCAAGAGGTCAGTCATATCTGCTGGTTGTGTTTTTGAAGGACAGCGACGAAGTTGTCGCTCTACCATTTGAATGTTAATGTTCTAACGAGTGTATCATGATTTTTAGCTGCACATTGTAGAAGAAGCCTTATCTGACTTTACTGGTTATGTGAATGACTTACACACTCACACACACACACATTGTGACACTGAGTTCTCCCAGTACAGGTTTTTTTTTTGTTCTCTCGCTGTTAAATGAGTAGAAGTGATAAAATGTGATCATGCCGTTCTGATGACGCCTCTTCTTGTCCTGCAGCTGGTGTAACACAGATGGTTTGAAGTGTTTGTTGATGAGTATGGACTGGAAAAACTGATTAAAAAAAACTTAAAACTCCCGCACTCAGTGGGAGCCGCGACGCTCATCGGTTGGTTTATTTGAGAAGAAAACGCCGTCATCGCTTCGGTCTCCGTTTCCACAGGAAGCTGCTCGTAAGATACGACCCAGACGTTACAAATGATCATTGTTCTCATCAGCATTAGAGTTAATTGTGCCCATTAAATAAACGATGAAAAAAAAAATACAAATAGTTCGGAGGCCAGCTGTGGCGATACTGGTGCAAACTTGCACCAGTACCGGGTGTTTCCCTCTTTAAACCAGTGTGTACATTTGACCAACTGGACTGTTTGTAGTTTCGGGTAGCTGTGCTTCGTGAATGTGTTCACCGTTAGCAAACTTGGAATAAAATTTCAACTCTGTAAGTAAAATAAAAGAATTCAGCACTGGTGGATGGTCCTGGAGTTTTATTATAACTTTAAATGTTCAATATTTCATGCCACGGGTAAGGATGTGTGGGTTCTTGGTTTTTAAGTCGACCCAAAGGTATGGTTCAGAGAATACCATTGAACTATGGAAACAATAACTACTTTATTTTGAAAGGTCCTGGTAAACTGTGTGCGCAGAAATACAACTGAGTTTCAGTTTCCAGCAGCCTGAAAAAGACAGAGGCAACCAGAACGACTGGTATCTGAACAGGCGATGAACTGGTAGCCTATGAAAGCCAATTTCTAATATTGATAAAAATAAAAATGCATTTAATAACTGTACCATAATTAAATACCAACAAATCTAGATTAAGATAACCTGGAAAATTTTAAACATTGAGCACTGAACCTGCAAGGCCCTAGTCACGTTTTGAATATGCAAAGATTTCCAGATTCCTTTTCTATGGAAAATGAAACCATTTTGTTTGTATTCTTTTTTTATATTGTGTTTTTTATTGTTGGGAAGGTAAAATTGCCTAAACAAATCATTATTTTTGTAATTCTAAAATTACAAGAACAATACTGGCTTACTGTCAAAATATTGAAAAGTAAACTGGAGAAACATCTGATTTGACATTTTTCAGATTATAGTCATATATTAGCTAGCTGTTAAGTTGTGCTTAATTTGTTAAAAAAATAATTTTTACTGTGTTGTGAAAACCAATAAGACACTTCACTTCTTGATTATTCAGGAGACAAAATAATCACATTATTTTTTTTATTTAAATAGTTTTTTAAATTCATTTTTCAGCAGTTTTTTCATCTTTTCTAAGACGATTGCCAAATTTCCTCTAACTTAGTTGTCTGATTATTCTGAATCTCCCAACCACACTAATCATTTTGAGCTGAACAGAATTTTTTTTTACCATTTTGAATTACATTTTTTGCAAAAATTCCACTTGTTGGTTTTACAGATGATTGTATTATAATTTTATAGAACTACTAAAGTACTTGCATGGCTTATTATTCAATATTTTATTCAACATTTTCAACCTATTATTTCCTGTTTTAACTGTTTTGTCGGTTAGATTTGGAGATGGAGAGAGTTTGGGTAACACATAGGATGTGTAGCTAAATAATTTGCCATGCAGCCTAATGTGGTCAAACAGAATAATTCATGTGAAACCTTTTGGTCCCACCTTTAAATGGATCCTGCAAGTGAAGTGGGGAAGTCAAAACAGAGCCGAGTCACGGCTAAGACACTTTCCTAAGAGGCTTACTGCGTCCCCTCTGTCCCTCGCTGATCCGTCACTGGAACGACTCACTTCTACCGGGACAGGTACCTGCTGGGTGACGGGAAACGGTCTCTTCTGTGGTAGGATACCTTTTATTTAGCTAGAAATATGGACAATAAACATGTGCAATATCATTGGGGAGACGATTCAGATGGGGTTTAATTTAATTGTAAAAAATGTTACACTAAACGGTAAAAAAAAAAAAAAAAAATCTTAATAAAATTGCTGTTAGCAAATTTGCCTTTCAAGGTAAAAATCTACAACAACATGCAGTCAGGTCGGTTTAGATTAACTTGTTGCTGTTTGATGATCAATCTTTAACCACAGTTAGTTTGGAGCATGAAATCATCTTAAGAGTGAAAATAAATTTTAGCAAAACATTGTTTAATTTTACGAACTGAAATAAATTAATAAAAGTCTTAAATAATTTATAATGAGAGCCCTTACACAAAGTAAGAGCTGGTTAAGTGTGTGAGGAATCGAGATGTGCGTGTTTCCCAGAATAGCTGCTCAACTCTGAGAAGGATCAGGCTGGAGTAGATTACCAGCTGCTTATCTCCTGTACAGCCCACGCTCGCGCACACACGCACACAAAGGCTTGATTAAATAAAAACCTAATCAGTGTGTGGTCTGTTTGATGGAGTGCACCCCTCTGTGTCCAGTAGGCGTGTCGCTGATCCTCTGCAGCCATGTGTGACCAGACGTTCATGGCGGCCACCTTCGGCCCATGTGACAACTGCAGCAAGGCCAGTCCGCTGATGAACATCTACATCAAGACCGAGGCCATCAACTACTGCTCCTTCTGCGTGGAAATGGTAAAGCAGCGACTCTGAGCTGCTGCCCGGTTCCGCTGTAAAACCTCACGTTGTGTCCATCCAGACTGCATGAAAGTTTTAATTCGCCTGGAAACCTTTTCACAGTAAAACTCCAGATGTGCTGTTTAAATCAGATATTTATATACAGAATATAAAGGGTTCTTTTCCCCTCACAGTTTGATTCAGCTTAGTTAGAATTACCCAAATTATTTGTGTTTACTAAATGCCAGAAAACTTTGTGAGAACTATTTTTTAGATTTTTTTTTCTAACTTTCTTCAAACTGTTTGCGGTCAACTTCTCAGACGTTTCCAACATCTGACCAATGAGAGGCTTCTCTCTCATTGCTGAAAGAGATAGTAATCATTCTTCATGTAAACTTCTCATTCTGAAGAAATTTTTTTCCCTCTCATTAATGGAAAAAAGATTTAATTGACTCAAGGGAACAGAATACAAATGCTCAAAATTGAAGTTTAGTTAATAAAAAAATCAATTACAATTACAGTCAGCGGGTAAAAACAATACATTTATTATAGCGGGATATGCTACTTTTACATGGGACTCTCCACATATTTAGCTTTGACCCTATAACAGTGGTTCTTAACCTTTTTCGAGGTACTGAACCTACTAGTTTTATATATGCATTCACTGAACCCTTCTTTAGTGATAAATAAAATATTATTTTTTCCAAATTCAAGACATGGGTATATATATATTTTTTTACTGGTGCACAAAATGAGCCATGCATGAACATCACCTTGCTCAAAGAACAAAACCTACACAGTGCATGAACTCACAACAAATTATGCATCTTTTCAAACAAGGTGTTACCAAATAAATAAACAATGCTTAGCCTGGTGGGGGGGGCAGGTAAAGTCTGGTGGCCTGCCAGGCTTATAATACACTGGGGGAAACCCTGAGTTTATGTAAGGGCAAATGCGTACATATTTATTACCTTGACAGATCTGACATTTTTGAGTGTAGCTTAACTTTTTTTCTACTCCTCTTTTTATCAACATTAAAATAAATGTTTATTTCTCAATAGGATCATGCGAGCAGACTGGGACTGACGGTTCATGAGGGATTTCTGCGATAGTCGGGTTTAAAAACAAGAACCAGAGGAGAGTGAAGCTGCGTTTACACTGCGGGGCTGGCTCTTAAAAGCCTTCAGTGTCTCTGAATAGCAGGACAGATAGAGGATGGGGGGGAGGCAGAGCAGAGAGCGACTGCATCACTGCTGCTCCCCAGGCTCATATTAATGGACCTCTAACCACCAGCCAAACTGTGCTGCTTCGCACAACATTTTCCTGCTTTTTGCTCTCATCCCTCCTCTTTTCTTTTTTCTAATCCCCTTTCTTCCTCTCCCTCTCTTTTTTTCTCTGTGTCTAACTTTGTTCCGGCGGCGTCTTTCTCGATGAAGATGGCGTGCCAGGGGCTCCAGAAAGGGGAGACCCTGGCATCACTGAAGAAAGAGAGCGAGAACCTGAAGAAGAAGCTGGAGGAGGAGCGCGGCAAGCTGAACGATGTGGAGCGTGAGTGGCCGTGGAAGCTAACGCTGCTGCAAACCGGCTCTTGAGAGCTTATTGTTGGTGCAGAGCACTGATATCAGGCTGTTTACAGTTTGTTTCTGTTCTTTTAGTCTTGTTCATACCAGCAATGGTGTGGATTTTATGCACAACTTTAAGTTCATCTAATTGTGTAAAATACAGACTTGTCTTAGGTTGCAAACTGCTTCAAGGTGTTTAGTTTCTCTAGTTTACAGATTTCTTTTTGAGTAAATTAACATTTTTGATCGGTACTGCAATTTAGTAAATTACAAATTCTGTGTTCTTACACTTCAAATAAGACAAATATCCATCTTAATTTTAGCCAATGTAATTCTGTTGTCTTAGATCAAGAACAGGGCCGGACATTACAAAGAGTCTTAAAGGGGCAGTACCCGATATTTGGGCTGCCCTTAAATATTTATGAAAGTCAAAAGCCCATATCAGGTGAATTGGATTACTATTTCGAGATTTTTATAAGTACTTGAGTATTTGAAAATTATGAAGTTATCGTAATTTTTCTTTGTGGGGAGGGACCAACAAGGAGCTTCTCCGTACTTCAATGTTTATCTTGTCAATTATGTTGCTATTGGGTTCTGAGGATGACCCAATCAGAACCTCACCAATCAGCATAATATGCTAATGTTGGAACCCAGCACACTCTGGAGTGAAACACCTGGTACACGTGCAAAGGCGCCCCCAGGAATCTTGGGCCCACTGACAAAAAATTAAATTGGGCCCCCCACACAGCTGCTGTTGCAATTTCTTGAGTCTAAGAAATTGTGATCAAAGGCTTTAAAGGCTTGCAACTGTGTTGTTGTTTTTTTTGGTCTAATACTGATAAGGAGCACAATATTTACTGCTCATGAACTTAATGTCCAACAGTCCACATACTGCATACAATTAGGTTGCTTAAATTTTTCTACCAGTTTTAGATTACTGAAATGTCTCTTCTTACATTTTTACCGCTAAAAACAATCTTCTTTGAAAATACAATCTGATTAATTTTGTAATTGTCAGGGCCCGAATTTTTAATTATTTCTATGAACAAATAAATACATTACAGAGGGCCCCCTGTTGGTCAGATTTTACAGTGTTTCCCTTTTCCTTTTTCTTCTTCCACTTTAGATCATGATTTTAATAAAACATGCAAATTAAATATGAATGCATATCAAAATTTGACTCATTTTGGGAAGCAAAATCTAAGAGAACAGTTTCAATCTAAAATGTAGGACCTTTACCAAGTATAGCCACGTGTGTGTGTTTGTGCATGTCACCCCAGTGCATCAGGTGGCTGAGAAGGTGGAGGCGGTGGCCGCTCTGTCCTTGAAGACCAGGCGTGTCCTGAAAGGCCATGGCAACAAGGTTCTGTGTATGGACTGGTGTAAGGACAAACGTCGCCTGGTCAGCTCTGCACAGGTACACACACACATTCAGGGCCCTGTGGTGTCCCTTCTGCAGGGTATGGGGGGAAAAAACTTCATTTTATGACACCATTTAAGCTTTCTCATTGACATTTACGACCTGCGTGGGTTATATCTTTAAAAAAGCTTAATAACACTTTAAGTTTAGTGAGTGAACCGGCTGTTTACTTCAGTACATTCCTATGCAATAAGTTTAAGAATGATTTATTTTATTGGCGCTGGATATTTGTTGAAGTAAATGTAAACTTACCCATGGTGAAGTTAGCTGTTTCTGGTAATAAATGCTTTGCCAAACAATTTGAAGCCGTTAAGCTAGCCTCGGTTTAAGCTAGGTTCGTCGCGCGCGCTTCACTACGCGGTTGTTCAATTTCCGGTTAAGAAAAAGACGCCTTTAAGCGCATGTCTTCCCCTTCTCTCTCTCCTCCTTATTTTCTATAAACTCACTGATCAACACAGGTCTTTAAGAAAAACGTGTCAGCTTCCCGGAACTCGTTCTAAGGCTGAACGCGTTTCAACGTGAATTCCGACACGTTCTGCTTTGCATCCTGGGATTTGTAGTTTGGTCACGCATAATTCCCAAGTTCTTCTGCAAGAGCTACAAACCACAGAAATAATTAAATGAATTCTAAAATATTACACGCAACTAAATTTAGATTTTTTTAAAGTCTAAAATTTGGATCCAATATTTTATATTTTATTTTATTTGTAGACATTCTGATATTTTATATTTGTTGCATGAATATGGGACAAATGCAGTATGTTTCTCTCATCTAGGACGGAAAAGTGATTGTCTGGGATGCGTTTACTCTTAATAAGGTAGGTGGATGATGGATGGAATAGTGGGGATGGATTTATGCTTCTTAAAAGATGCATTTTTAAAGTATTTTGACCATTGAGTAACATTTTAAATGTAGCTTGCTTTGTCAGAAAAATGCATTTAAAAATCTATATAACATTAAACTTATTCATGATTCAATTTCATAAGCTGATCAATTTGATTTAATCCGACTGTAAATTTGTATTTTAAGTCCAACTTTGCAGCCTTAATCTGATAGATCACTTCAGTGAACGATCTTCAAAGAGCAACAGTTGTGTTCAAATATTTCAAATAGCATTCCCTGTAAAAGCAAATAAAAACTAGGAAAATCTAAACTAATCAGTAAGTCAGTTGATGTGACACATCTATCACTGCTCTGGAGGAAGGGCGACCCCAGTTTGACCTTTGCTACTCATCGGACAGCCAAATGGTTTTTCTTCATCCATACTCCTCCATATGAGCTGCTGGTGCTGCTGGGCTTATGCGCCTCCCCTCTCCTAACATCTGGGAAGTAAAACGGTTAGACAGAAATATCCCTTTAAAGATTATCTGTCCATCAGTCGACTTTGACAGCTGCCGATGTGTTGATATGTAGGTAGGCTGAATGACTTTTATCCTGCTTTAAAGATTTATTTTATGCATCCCAGACCTGAAACTTTGAATGTTACTCAGAGCCAGGCTGACAGGAGCTACAGTGTCTAGTAAAAAATATTTATGCTTTCTTAGATTTTATTCAGCAGCAAGTAAACATTTCTGTGTCATTTATTGGGATTTTATTTGATTAAACAGAATCTGTCGAATGAGGAACTAATCTTTTTCGTCCATCAACGTGTGTGTGTGTTTCTGTGTGTGTTGTTTGTGTCCTAAAGGAGCATGGGATAACCCTGCCGTGCACATGGGTGATGGCATGTGCATACGCTCCCTCCGGTTGTGCTGTGGCATGTGGGTGAGTGCGCTGCTTCTTTAAAATTTCTAAAACGTACGATTGGCGTCCTTTATTCAGAACTCACAGAAAGGCTGTCATGAAACTAAATCTGTGTGATCTCATTCGTCAGGGGCCTGGATAACAAATGCTCTGTGGTCCCGCTGTCGCTGGACAGAAACGAGAACCTGGCAGCAAAGAAGAAGTCGGTCGCCATGCACACCAACTATGTATCAGGATGCTCCTTCACCAACTCGGACATGCAGGTGCGATACTAGAAATATCAATAATTATAGCGAAACCTCTCAGAAATCCATATGTAGAGTAGTTGCACAAAACTAATATAAGGAGAGTAACTGCTGAAAAACGTAAAATAAATAAACACAAAATAATTAGCAGAGGGTCAAATACTAAGCCTTGTGGAACTCTACGGTACAACGGAGCAGAGGATCATCTGAAATCATCTCAACAACCACAAAACAGTGAGACTGTTTTTAATGTTAACCAGTTCAGTACTGATTGTTATGAACATTAATGTCTTTAATCAAAGTGAAAACAAGACACTTCTGCTGTTATAATGTTGAAAACTCAATGCCTTTTGACATAAACCTAGCTCTAAAAAAATCAGAGCAGGTCATTTTCATCTAATCCAATGTTCATAGTTCTGGAAAAATTCTTAGAAAAAAAACCAAAAACGTAACATTTAAAATTAAACAAGGCAAGTTTGTGCAAAATGTTTCATTATGCAAAGTCAGGTGGGGGCAACAGCCAACATACCACATTCTGACACAAAGTTTCTTATTGTCTGTTTTAGTTAAAGTTTAAACTGAAAAAAAAAATCAGTTCGAGCTGCATTCTTATCTTTATTTTTTGACATTTTGTAATCTCAAGATTGGTATTTGGTTGCGTCCAGTACACATCACCTCCGCTCAGCCGGGTGGATGAGAGGGTGGAAGGAAGGACCCGAAGGAAATGGTCTGAGCTGTTTGCTTTAATAATTAACTCCTTTGTGACGCTTCACAAAGCAGAGAAGCACCGAGGGAAGAGCGGATGAGAGAGAGACCGAGAGACAGAGAGAGAGAGCTGTGATCGTCTGTCCTGGGAGTATTAATAGACTCCGAGTGGCTTTTATCTGGGGCAGAACATTTACCACCCAAATAAAAGCAAGTGGACAGCAAAAGTGTTCAGACCAGTCCACTTGTTCCACCTTTACCGTTGATGTGTTACAATTCACATAATATGAGCCCTTTGTATTGCCTTGTTGCTGAAAATGTGCTATTCAAATAAAATTACCTTGTCTTCCCTTACAGGGTGGGCCATAAGTTTCCACACATAAAAAATAAACATTTTTGACTACTACTCTGTGTAGTCACTGGGCCACTTCATGGTTGATCTGCAACATTTTCAGTTTCCTGAAACTTGCAAATAAGTTTGGCCACAGTGTTGTGTGTGTGTGTGTGTGTGTGTGTGTGTGTGCGTGCGTGCGTGTGTGTGCTTTTGTGTGTTGCTCGTTCCATGTTTTCTATTAAAGTTTCATGGAGTCTGCTTCCTGATCCAGCCCGTCAGCGTAATTTAAATTCTTTGTTCTTTTGTCAAATGCATCTTCTTGGGTGTCTGAAATATAAAAGAAATATACATTTTACATTCTCCTAAGTATGGAAACGTATGGCCCACCCTGTAGAATAGAAACAATGTTTATTGTCAAGTGTCAATCTTGCAACGCTAGTATCGATCTGATACTGATATTTTGATATCGGTATTAATTATATTTCATATCAATCCGCACACAACTAATGGATGAGGCTTAATACTGCAGAAAACCTCTTTTTACTCGAGACTGAGCAAAAAGTGGTTCTACAAACTGTCAATGCGATTAGGCAGAATTCAAATGCACACCGCACCTTCCAGATTTTCATTTCTAAACTAAAATGTAAAATAAACACCCTGCACAGTCTTCCCTGCGCTAACTACGCACTACTTTGTGTTGCTCTGTCAAACCGAATCCCAGTAAAAACACGTCAGAGGTAACAACTGTAGAATTTTGCAAGGCGGCATAAACGCAGAATCATAAAAACTTTCCTTTGTGTATCTGTGTGAAACCTTTTCGCGTGCAATTCCGATGAGCTCCATTTTTAGACACGATGCAGAAAGAAAGACTGAAAGTAAGAGTCTGAGCCGCTGCAGCAGGATGTGGTGTGTTTCAGCTCTGAGGTCACGCAGCATCCTCTCTAATCAGGCAGACAGCAGGGACGCCTTTTGTTTGAGTAAATCTCTGAGTCCCCATGATTTGTTTTCATCAGACCATTTTGGTGACATCGTACTGATTTGCGAGCCTGTTTGTATACAGATAGCTGATTGCTATATGTATACAGAGTAAGCGAGGAGCCGCGTTTCTACTCTCTTTTGCCTTATTTGTTGTTTAGATTCCCGTGTTCCTGGTTCTGATCTTTGGACTAATCATTTCTTTTCCTCTCACTATTAGACTCTACTTCCTTTATGTGTAAAGAAACCGTTTTGCTCTTTCAACCGAGCTTCCCTGAGAACTGGTAGTGGTCGCAGACAGTAAATTTAGCAACAGCGATACTACTGGGTTATTTTGGTCTATTTCATTTCCCAGTAAATTAGAGAAATGAGAGCAAAACCAGCAGGTAGAGCAATTCACAAGAAAGAGCAGCGGTCTGTTTTACAAATAGGCCTGGTTACTGCTTTTCGAGGTGGACCAAGATTTGAAATTGAAAAATGTTACTATTTTACTACTCAAAATCAGATTAGTTTGAAAGTCAATTCTATGTTCATGTGTTGTTTAAATAATGGCGATAAAGTGAGCCCTTTCCGACCTTTGACAAAATCTGGGTGTGATGATGGAGTCAGACCCGAACCTTCAGAGTCACATAAAGACAACTACAAAGTCGGCCTTCTGTCACCTGATGAACATTTGCAGGTTTAAGGAACTGATGTCCCAGTGAGATCTAGAAAAACTCATCCATACATAAACTAAGTACTGTTTGTTTATAAATCACTGAATGGCTTAACACCAAAATATATTGAAGATCTGCTATTGTTGTGTCAACCTTCCGGACCTTATGCCCAGAACCAGAACCAGACATGGAGAAGCAGCATTCAGCTTCTATGCACCACAAATCTGGAACTAACTTCCAGAAATCTCCAAAACTGTCGCAGCTGTTTTTGTACTATAATAAATGGAAAATTAATCAACATATCTGACGTGTATTTATAATTTTGATGATGGCACTCATGTTGGTTTCCTCAGGTGTTGACTGCGTGGTGTCTTTTATGGCTTTGTGTTTTTACGACATAAAGCACTTTGAACTGCCTTATTGCTGAAATGTGCCATGCAGATAAACTTGATTGATAGTTTGCGTGTTTGTGTGTGCCAGCTGCTGACCTCCAGCGGGGATGGAACATGTGCATTGTGGGACGTGGAGAGTGGGCAGCTGCTGCAGAGTTTCCACGGTCACACGGCGGACGTCTTGTCGCTGGACCTCGCTCCGTCCGAGACCGGAAACACGTTTGTGTCCGGGGTGAGGAGCCTGAAAAAATGTTTTTTTCTTTGTTTTTATTTAGAGATGTAATTAGTGGCTTTCTTTGACTAACTTTTCTCCTGATGCGTCGCTCTCAGGGCTGCGATATGAAGGCCAACGTGTGGGACATGCGCTCGGGACAGAACATTCAGTCTTTTGAAAGCCACGAGTCGGATATCAACTGTGTGAAGTGAGTTCAGCTCATTAAAAGACGCACAGATCTGACTTTAACCCAAACAGATCCACTGTCATCATTTTACAGGCATTTTGTGTATTTTTAGACTTTAATGACAGGAAGAAAGAGCTGAGTTTAATGGTCTAAACTCTTTGCGTGCGTAATCTGTGATTTAAAAGCTGGATCTCTTGGATTTACAGATGATTGCTGGTTGCTGAAACTTGTTGCGAAAATATTCCTGATTGAATTTAATTTGTACGTCTCACATGCAATTTTAACGCTCTAAAAAAAAATAGACTCCTTAAGTTTTATCTCACTGTTCGACCCGTAATCCTCTCAGTGCGGTCATGACGTCCTTCCCAGAAGCGCAGTGTCAGCAAAAGTTTTTTTTTTTTTTTGTCTTGATAGGACAAATTTCCCAACTTTTAAGGTTACAACACATCAGAAGTATGTCTTAGATTATCCTTAACGTAGTTAAAACAACATTTTGATAGATTTGAATGCTAAAAATCTTTAACCAAAACAGACCTGCTTTAAGTTTAAATGGATCCAATGCATGTCAGATCTGTTTAAAACAAAAACAAAAAAACATCTGATTGTGTGCTGTTTCTGTTTTAATAAATTGTAATTTTTTTGTTGCTATAAATATCGAAAATGAAAAGAATTAGGTTGTATTAGAAATCCTCACTGGTCAGGGCCCTGGGCTGAATGTGACTCATTTCCAGGTAACGTCCTCCTGACCCACCAGCAACACTGACTTATCTATACTGTTACTGTGTGAGTCACTTCTCACTTCATTCACTTTTAGTCAGTAGCACTAAAATGAGTTCTACTCACTCATTTTTCTTTTACAGAAAAAAAGTTCTTGCATTTAAATCTGAGCATTTAAAAATAATAATAAATTTAGGGTATTTAGTCTCCAGAGTACGGTCTAGAGTTCAGTTGAAGATCTTACACACAATTGTGAGAATGCAAAAAGTTTCACAAGTATTTTGCTTTGCTGCTCAGTAAAACTGATAATTGACAAAAGTTTGTTGAATATCCAATTCGCACATTTGACCTTGCAGTCGTGACCGGCTCGATTACAACAAATTGAAGCAGCTACTGAACAAATACGACCAGAAATTGGAGATAAACAGTTGATCATGTCTGAATGTAATCTCCCGGACATCCAGGTACTACCCCAGCGGAGACGCGTTTGCTTCTGCGTCAGACGACGCCACGGTAAGTTCTGCTTCTCCACTTGTTGTTATGCGTTTCTGTCCCCATGAACTATGTCAGTGATTCTGAGGAAGTAATGTTTACTTGATGACCTCATGGCACGTTGCTTTTCATAAAAGTTATTTGTGACACCCTCTGACCAGCTATAATCCTAAGCTAAAATAAGCTGAAGTCGTGCCTGTGTGTGTGTGTGTGCGTGCGTGCGTGCGTGTGTGTGTGTGTACTAGTAGTAGTCCAGCTGTGAATGTTGATTCAGTCGAAGATGTTTCTTTGTTCTCCTCAGTGCCGTTTCTATGACCTGCGGGCGGACCGCGAAGTCGCCGTCTACCAGAAGGACAGCATCATATTTGGCGCCTCCTCTGTGGACTTCTCTCTGAGTGGTGAGAAGCATTTTTAATTCAAGCTGGACTGCAAAACGTTAAGCTGTTCACCTAAGTAATATTTACTAACTAAATCTGTTGGCCTACTGGTAATATGCAAGTATTCCATATGCATGATACCAAATCAGAAGTATTTTATAACCAAAACAAAATTTCCTCTCATTCAATTGTTTGTCTTTGCTTCCCCGAAATTCCCCACTTCCTTTTTTTTTTTTATGTCATTATTTTCATCTTCCGCCCACGCATCCAGGCCGTCTGCTGTTCTCTGGGTACAACGACTACACCATAAACATCTGGGACGTTTTGAAGGGGACTCGCGTCTCCATCCTGTTTGGCCACGAAAACCGCATCAGCAGAGTCCGAGTGTCGCCTGATGGCACGGCGCTCTGCTCAGCCTCCTGGGACAACAGCCTACGGGTGAGCAGGAGTTTCCCCGCAAAGCAGGAAGTGGGAAGTTAGAAGCTTCGAAAAAAAAACAAAAAAAATTGAACAGAAAACCAAAGACTTTGGCATGATTTATCACTCAGACAATAAGCACTACTGAAAAAATAATTTATACTTCCTTGTGTTGATACATTACACAGGTGTGAGTGTTTTCATAAATCATTTCCATGTCTGAAAATGACTTCAGGTATTTTTCCTCTCCTAAATTAAGCTTCTTTTTCTTTAAGCCCCTTTAAAAACAACAAGGTAATGCAGGAAGTAGTTCCATCCTTCCATCATCGTCCGCTCAGGTCCAAACCAGTATTATACCAGCAACATCCTCCAGCTCATTTTTGGGGTTTCCAAGGTCCCAAGGCCTGAAGGGACATGTAAACTTACAGTCTTCTACACTGACGCATCATAATGGCAACTGTGTAGCAAAATATGAATGTAAACACGTTCAGAAAATCAAATGTTTTGTTTAAATTGAAGCAGTCATTAAAATATATGTTCAGTTTGTATCACAACACTGTGACCCTTGTTTTCACAGACACCGTCAGTCATGGTGTGACACGATGATTTCCCTCTGTCTTGCAGATTTGGGCCTAGCGTCGTCTCAGCGGTTCAGTCCAAGTAAACAACACGAAGATTATCGCTCCTGCCGGATACCAGTCCCTCTTTCTCGAGCCAAAACTTCGGCTTCACTCTGAAGTTCGACCGCTTCCAAATGTGATGATGCATCAGTTCCTTGTTAGCGCGCAAATTTAAACAGCTTGTTAGCGACACATCTGAACGCTGCGCCTGGTAAATGGACTTGGACCCCTTGAATATTTTCAGATTTTGTCAAGTTACAGTCACGGCTTTTCCATGAATTATATTGCACTTTTAGGCGAAGGGCCAGTTTTTCTGATTGAAAAAAAAAGACCTTAGGATGCCACCATGTTTCAGACTTTTCACCAAACCACGTCTCCCTTTTCTTTCTATACTTACTTTAGTTAAATACATTCAGGTTTGTGATCGTAATGTGACAAATGTCTAACTAACTAATCTGTTGGCCTACTGGTAATAAAATTTACCATAGAAATCATATTGACCAACAAAAATAAAAACAATGGAAAAAGCATATTTCTGCAATGAACAGATAAAAGTAGTACTAATAACTGTGTAAGAACAATATATTGGTCATTATTGTCATCATTTAACTTTCTTTATTTGGCTTGTGAACTGCAGTCAGATTCATTTTAGTGGGTTTGTAAGCGCAGCTATAATATAACGGCACCTTATGGAATAAAGTTAGTTACCAGTACTATTATGATTTTATTTAAAGGCGTATTAACTATTTTGATCACTTATTTTCCCATAAAAAAATAGAAACAGTTGTGGAGTCTTCGTTCCTTCCTTTTTTTTATTATAACCAAACAACGACAGCATTTCACTAGTGACAAAAAAAACTATGCACAAAATTCAATCCCTACCAAAAATGACAGGTGGTTATAATTATCCAAAGACATGGTGAGTCGCATTAAAATCTAGACCTGCACTGTCAGGTCAATCTGAGAGCGCAGAGAAATTAATTTCCAAACCAGGGCACACATCTGTTCCCTCGGCAAAGTTTCACCTGAAAACCTAGGACAGAAATTCGTTGTGTCAACACAAATGGCAGCCATGGGAAGGGAATCCAGGTCACCCTGGATGACTGGCAACCAGTTAATAGCAGAAGATTTACTCTCTCTACATCACGCCATGTTGTTTTCTCACCAAATAAATCTGGTCACCATGATGGGTTTTGGCTTCTTTTTTTTTTTCCAGTTCTGTCTGCACAAAACTGAGGGTAATGATTTAGTTCTGGCTCTTTTTTTTTAGAGTTTTGTGGCATTGGAGGCTTTTATTCATAAGTTGCTGGCAGACAGAGATGGGGGAAGACATGCGGTAATTGGCTCATGTCTGAAGATGGAACCTGGGACAGCTGCCTTCTGGAGCAGGACGATTTAAATGGAGAAAACGTATTAACCACAGCTGAAAAATAACTCTATTTGTGCAAATTTTGTTTCTCTGTTATTTTGTGATGGTGGCTCGTTTTCCATGTCAAAAATTAAAAAAAACGAGAAGTGGCTTCCAAATGGAAACCAAGAACACAAAGTTGTGAGATCAGGGCACAACACAATTTCCACCCATGGTCTAGTGGCTGACTCCCTGCAGCCAATTTATACAAAACCACTCAATGCATTAGAATGTATAATGAACGGAGGAATGAAGAAACTTTTCATTGAATTGAAGAGTTCCTTCATTTCAAAAATTCAGTTCACTTAGTGGAACTGAATACACACGTCATTTACACACAGACTGATGTTTTCAAGCTTTTCCTTCTGTTAGTTCTGATAATTTTTTCCTCAGACTTAATGATATTTAAGATTAGAATAATTTTATACAGATTTGCAGGCTTTACAAAAACTATGTTTACCCACCTAGTAAAAGACTACTTTTTAGAAGGTACAGAGTCATTTTAAAAATAAGATGTAATTTCCCCCTCTTCCCTTCCCCTAAAAGTGAGAATCAACACTAAGGACTACTGAAACCTTGTGTTCTGAACTATTGGACAGTCCCTCAAAACAAACAAAACATTAATAGGAAGCTCTTGCTGGCACCAGTTTGTTTTGCATATTCAGTTTGCCAAAAACTCCCATGAAATTTCCTGAGGGAAATACTGTGATTAATTGAATGGGGGAAAGTGGAAAAGAAGAAGGGAAAATAAAGAGACAGGTAAAAAAGGAAATTCCCCTTCGGTGAAAGTACTTCAGATTTTTAACCGACCACAGGTCTGGTTACAACCTGTTTGTTTCGCTTTCTAAAGCTGGTCAATGATCTCCAGGATTTAATTGTGTTGTCAGTTTACAGCGCAGTGACAATGTGTGAAAATCTGAATTCTGTTATTTTTGGATTAAACCTCTTATTCTGCCAGTACATGTAATATACATATATATTTTAATTTATGACAGCCAATGTAGTTTTGTCGTGCTCTTAGACCAATCCCAAATTTAGGACAGTGCTTAGTAATTGGCTTATGTGGCTTAAAACTGCAGACAAAGGTTACTTTCGATCAATGGCTTGAAGAACACTTGTATTTCTGTTGCAGAAGAAATACACATTTGGAAATAGCTGCACAACGAGTTGATATCAGGTTTGTTTAGCTCCTAGTATTGCTCTAAACCAGGAGTGTCAACATCCAGTCCTCAAGGGCCGCTGTCCTGCAGTTTTTAGATGTGCCACAGGTACAAAACACTGGAATGAAATGGCTTGCAGGACACCGGCCCTCGAGGACTGCAGTTTGACACCCCTGCTCTAAACAAAGCAAAAAGGTATACTTTGGGGAATATTGTTCAAATGCCATATTAAAACTAACTCATTTACTTAACCTATAAAATTAATTAGTTTTAGTTAAACTGATCTTGTTGGCTGTCAATTTTAAAAGCATGTTGTAATTTAAACAACTTAAGTGCCTTTTAGCAGTTTTAGCGTGAATAATTTCTTAGAAATACTGATTAATATGTGGATTAAACATATGCAAATATTACACTGGGTAAATTTAGTCTATTTACGTATTCGAGTTGTGGTGAAATTTTTCAATTTAACTGTTCAAGACCTTTTTCTTTCTTTGTTTTTATTTAATACCAAGTAAATTTCCATGCGGCGAAAGTTCATATCAATCACGTCAGGGACGCGTGCGTTTCATTTCCAGGGCTCTTTCGGAAAGCATCGTTCGTGTCTCTGGCGGAAGCAGTGGGCGGAGTAAATAAATGCACTGCCGGCTTGGGGAAGCGGTGAATGCACCGAGGTTCTCCTTCCGCCGTCTGGATGTGCAGAGAGCCGTCACATATCGCTGGGAGGGTAAGCACTTGTGATGACGAAAATACTGTATTTCGCTGGTATGTTTTCGCGTCGCTCTATAGACAGGAGGAATGTTCGCACAGAGGTGTATTTTTGCGGTGACTAGCTGTGGCGTGAAGTGGATGTTTTAGCTGAATTAGTTCCCCGTGTGAGCTGTTCTTTGTGTCCTCCATTGCTGCGGTGACTGACAGGCGGAGGAGGAAAAAAAAACAGCAGCAGCTTCAACAACTTCCAAGTTCGCCGGTTAAACCCTCCGAATATCGGGCGCTGGATGTTGTCCTGCACTCCTAAATTAAATGTTGTACGTATTTTCAATTTTTTTAAAACAGTAGGCGACGCTTTTAGTGAGGCTTGAGAAGACGAACCGGCTCAGTTCGCTGGGAGCTAACAAAAGCCGTCTGACCTCACCGACACGAAGCTAACTGACGCGCTCTGATACGGCTTTCTCTCCGGAACTATTTTAATGAAAATACGGCTTTCTCTCCGGAACTATTTAAATGAAAAACTCTCCAACGCCATTCTTATAATTCTCTTCTTTCATTTTCTACCCACAGTAGTTGTTTAGTCATAATATAAATCGATTAAATTAGACAAAGGTTGTCTTATCAGGTCAAAAAATCTGGTTTCACTCTGAGTCATGTTTTATTTTTTTTTTATTTACAAAAGAAGGGGAAAATTCTGGCAAAACCCCCTGTTTTTTTTCATCTTTTAAAGAGCTTCAGTCATGTGATCTTGATGACGGTGAGACAAACTTTATGGTTACTGGACATCTCAGCTGACAGGAAACACGAAGGACAACGATAATGGAAATGATCAGTCCAGCAAATATCCTCTGCAACGCTATTATTAATTATTATTATTTATTATTATTGATAGAAACTCAAGAGGGGGAGACATGAAGATGTCAGTAGGGCTTTAAAAGTCATTTTGGGTTTTCTGTTGGAGCTTACCAGTTTAGAAAACCCAGTTGAATCCATTGAAAATCCTTTACTCAACATTTTGATTGACAGTGTACATCACCTTTTTTATTTTTATTTTGGCATTAATTCATTCATAGATTTAAAACCGTAAAAGGTGTTAATTGGGATGTATTTAATGAACAGATAAAAATCCTATTTTGTAATTTTAAACTTTTTTTTTTTAATTTTTGGATCTAGTGGGCTTCATTTGAGATTAATCAGACAAGAAAGGTAATAAAAGACACGAGGCCAAGGTCATCAGACCGGGACTTGAATCTGTGACGTTTGCATTGAACACCAAGGCCTCCATACTTTGGGTTGTGGTTTAACCCTGTGTTACCACAGGACACACCATTTTCTAATTTGACCAATCCAGTGTGATTGGTCAAATTAGACCAATCTGGTTCAGACTTAGATTAGACATTCTGAGTGGTTTACTTACTTTATTCTCATGCTCCATTTTGTGTTTTTTGTCCTTTTTAGAAAATGTCCTGTGGGCTGTGGAAAGAGACCGTGGCTGTCGCAGAGGATTACATCCGCCTGCGCTGCTCAAGCCCACACCCAGCCCCTCCACCTCCCAGCGAGCCGGCCGCCGCCATGAGGCGCCTGGCCCAGGACGTGGAGGCCCAGCACCAGGCTCGCTTTCACTCCCTGGCCCAGGGCTTCCTGAAGCACTGCGGGACGGACCTCTGCTCCAGCCTCAGAAAAGTGATGGATGAGATGGTGGGTGACGGACACTTTAACTGGGGGAGGGTGGTGTCCCTCTTCGCCTTCGCCGGCGTGCTGGCCAGACAGCTGCGGGAACAGACGAGCAAGAACCCGGGGCCGGACTCCGGGAAGCAGCAGGAACTGCAACAAGAGCCCGTAAGCTGCCGGGCGCTGGCGGAGACCATCGCTGATTACCTGGAGAAGCACAAAAAGGATTGGCTACAAGAAAATAATGGATGGGTAGGTTGTGTGTGTGTGGAAGGGGGAATGATTATTTGATGTAAAGATTTCAGATAAGAGAGGGATTTTCTTTTCTTTCTTTTTTTTTGTCTATCTAAAAATAAGAGCCAACCACATTTGGAAACCATCTGGCTCGACACGATTTAGTTTTTCCTGCTGGAGTGTGACTCAAGATTTTACTTCTTGATTAAGCTGCCATTATTGACGCTGCAAAAGAACACAAAATCTTACCAATTAGTTCAGGTCTAGTCTCTAATGCAAATATCTTAGAACACTTGAAATAAGACCAAACCAAATTACAATAGGATATTATGTTAAGTCAATAATGTCTTGATGAAAAAGTGCCATTTACAAGTGAAACTGTGCTTGTTCTGCCAGAGGAACCAGTGCTTTTTCATCAATATTAAGGAATTATCAGACTTACAACATGCTGGAAAGTTAGTTTTGTTTTATTTTAAGTGTACTAACAATTTCTGCTCAAGAAACTAGACCAAAAACACTGAAGATCTTGTGTTTTTGCTGTGAGGCCAACAAATAGATTGACCTAAAAATGTCCTTAGGATTTTGTGCTGCAGTAAAAATAATCTTTTAATGAATTCAACTGGAATATAAGATGTTTTAGTTCCTTAGAATAAAGAGCAGATTCCAGTTTTAATTTGTAAAAATGAATTTCCCTCAAAGATGCCCCCACTATAAAATCCTGAGTGCTTATGGAAACTACATACAATACAAGCTGAATGACTCCTTTTATGAATGGACTTGGGTAACACAAACACGCGCACACACACACACACACACTCTCTCACACACACATACACACTTGCCCCTCCTCTCTGGAGCAAAGCTGGCAGCTGGTTCCAACAGACACATAACCAGCTCAGCCAGATGGACTTTGTGGTAACAGTCAAAGCTGCACTGAATGCCAGTCCGTCTCCACATTGAAGAGCAACGTTGTATGACCAGACAAACATGCAGCTGTAGCTCGGAG